ATTACAGGACAGCATTACCACACCCAGTCTCAATTGCCATTTTAGTGTACCTCGAAGGTGGGGCCTGACCCACAGGCCCGGGAATTGAACCCCTGGCCCTTGTGCCTGCTTACAGTTGCTTTAATCAGTGAGCTATTTGGCCAGCCCATCTTTTACCTTTTGGATCCAGTTTCCATAATCTGTTTCTGAGGTTTGTTGTTCTCTTTTTCTGTATCTGGTTTTGCTTTTATTTTATTTATATATTTATCTAGATTTGCATTGTAGGATTTTGAGATAGAGTCTTGCTCTGCAGTCCAAGCTCACCTTAGACTTATGTCCCATCTACATGCCTTGGACTCTGGGGAGGCGTGAATTTCATGAAACCACCATTACACTTGGCCTATTGTTACTTTTAAGGTATCTCTAGAAATATCATGTTCTGCATTAACTTCATTTTCTGTTCTGAAACTCTCTTCTTGCATTGGACCTTTCTGATGGTAATTATTTCAAAAGAATTTTGTATCTTTGGTTTCTGATTGCATCTTTGCATGGATGCCAATGCTCTTATGAACTAGATACTCATCTGTTAGATCAGGTTGGTTAGCTCACCCTGGCTTTTATTACAGTGTCCTTTAAGTTCGCTGAATATTTTATGAAAGAATTTCCCTATCTGTTTGTTTATATCATCTTCAATTTCATTGAACATCTTATCTACCTGGGGTATATTTTATTTCTTGTTTTATGACTTTGTGCATTGAGGCAACTTGGGCGGTTTACTTTCACCCCTTCAGTGCTCACTGAAAAAACTTTGGGGAAGTATATATACCTGTCAGTATTCTGATTCCATTGTATCTATTGTTTTTTCGTTCTCTACAACTGAAGGATCAGCTAGAGTGAAAAGACTCTGTTGCTATGAGAGAGATCACTTCAGTCCATTTGAGCACAGTTAAGTTATATTTGCCGTGGCTGTGTTCTGATATTTATACACTTCTTTCCTCTGTTAAGAATAGCCCATTACACCTAGTCACTGTGTGCAAGGACATGGTCCATAATGGATATATCAACAACAGGCCCAACCACATATCAATCATGGAGCTGAAAACTTGTTAGAACAATTGTTTCCCTTTTATAAATGACCTACAAAATTATTATGCCCTACTAGACAATTATCAAGAAATACAGTGGATAAGGGGGAGGATTTGAAAAGGAAGGGGCTGATTAACAAGAAGAGCATGAGAAGAGAGCGATAGCAATAAGTCATAGATACAAGGTTTTAATTTGTGTCATTGTTTCCAGAAGTAGAGGGCAGAGATAGCAGACAAAAAGCTTGAGAGACTATTTTGGAGAACAGACAAAAGGGTTCCCTGAGGAAAACTTAATTAGAGACTAAAAATCTGCCCACAGGTCTAATTTAATTTTACTTTTCATGTGCGAAGATATTTCCCTTATAGAAAATTCTGCAGTGTCCTGATCAGTACATTCTGTCATGTTTTCTGACTAAATTGTGTCTATTTTCATCTTTATTTATGTCTTTTGTTCCCTCCATAAAAATCTGTCTCTTTTCTCCCAATGTGCTCTGGTGTTGAAGACTCCTGGCCTTCAGTGATGTTCAGGTGGGGGCATGGAGTTTTCCTGATGGTGCTGCATGCAGGGTACTGTACAAGGTATTCAAAGACAGAAAGTTCCATTGAGTTTTGGAGTATAGTAAAGAAGGACTGCTCTAACTTTGTGCTGCTGGATCTGGTCTGTTTCCTGTGTTTCCCCAGCTGCAGTATGCAGCTCCTACCCATGAGCCCTGTGGCACTAAGGGATCATTCAGCAGCACTGGTTTTAGGTGGGAGAGAGCCCTCACCAGCAGCACACAATATATAGGGAAACAACCAGATCAAACAGACCTAATGCTATTGTATGTGTTATTGAGCACTTCATTTTACCACGTTTTTATTGTGAGCAGCCACTTGGAAAGTATATTGATATATTGATTATGTATAAGGTGGTCTGATTCTCAGTAATTTATGATGTTACACAATTAATTTGCACAATGCAAAATATAGATAAAAAGAAGTGCATAGATATAATAGAGGGAAAATCTACAGGTATTCATATATCAATGACACCACAAAGTGCAAGTTGAAAATTGAATTTTGTAGAGAATTATCACAAATTTTAATAGGTTTAAAGTAATTATTGAAACTAAATGACAATGTAGTAGAAGCTAAATATAAAATAAAATGTGCAAAACTCCACAACAACAAAATAACAAAAGGAGAATCATGAGAAAACAAGACATGTACAAAAATTCATAACTCCTCCAAAGCTGCTCATTGACTCTGAAAGGAATAAATTCAAGCCAAAATGGTCCTAAAATAGATAGTTACAATTATTAAAGGCATGAAGGAGAGACAGTAAACAGTTAAATGATCAATTGGGTAATATCTTCAAGAAGCTGAGATAAGACACATATAACAGCTTAACAAGTTAAGGAAAAAACACAACGTAATACAGTGTACAATGACATGTCCCTCTAAACTCATTCTACAAAGCCAGTAGGACTGACACAAAACTGGTTAAAAATTTAACAGAAAAAGTAAACTAGCTATTAATATTCCTGAAGAACCTGAGTACAAATAGTCTTAGAAAAATACCTGAAAGGGGCCGAGGAGATGGCTCAGTAGAATAAGCGCTTCCCTGGCAAGCACTTATTTTTTAGTTCAATCCCCATCCTGAAAAAAAGAAGAAAAAGAAAAGATAACTAAAATAATTAAATGAACAGAAATATTACAAACAATGATCAAGTCACTTTAATCTCATTTTGAACTATCTTGAGGAAATTAGAAATCAGCATGAAAAATAAAATCAAAGCTAGTAATAAATGTAATCCAGGAAGAAAAAAGATCTCTATAGTGGTAATTATGAAGCACTAGTGAAAGTAGTTTTAAAAGGACTCAATTAAAAGGAAAGAAAACCTGTGCTCATCAAGTGGAAGAAAATATTCTTTTAACAACATTACAATAAATATCTTCTAAGTGTAGTGAACACTCTATCAATATACAAATTTCATACTTTGATCAAGGTATTAAAATTCTAATAGCCACATGAAGCCAAAATGTTGCATTATGGACAAGCTACTTTGAGCAAAATAAGATAAGTGGATTGCAAGATAGGTTTGTGCACTAAAGCACCTGGTTAGGCAAGCTTAGCCAAGCATAGGGTTTGATCCCGAGCACCATCTCCAGGGTAGGCTGAGCTGGCAACAAAATTTAATAAATAAAATAAAGTAAAAAATTGTTGACATCCAACTCTTACAAGTATAAAACTATTATGCACAAAGCAGTATATCATGAATACATAAATGAGCATATAGACCAATGGAAACCATAGAGATCTTGGAAATAATTACTTTTACATAAACAAATTGCTTTGGAATAACACACCAAGAACACAAATTGGACCAGGGATATTTTAACTGATAGGTGCTGCTGGGATGTTAGATGCCTGCAAGTACAAGTCTCACAATAGGCTGTGCTCTCATGTCTTATAAAAAGTTAAGTTAAAGCACTAGAGAGAAGATTTTGTATGAGGGACAGTCAGCTAAAATTGATCAACATAATTTGACATTTAAGAAATGAAAATCAAAATAAAACTTAGATTCCATCTCAAGAAAGAATGGTTATCATCATAGTTAACCAATAGCAAATACTGGAGGGGATGTGTATTAAAAACTACCATTCTGTAGTGTGTAGACTGGTACAACTTTAATGGAAATCAGTGTGGGCATTCCTCAAAAAATAGTAAGATTTTCAGGCCCATTCAACCCAGTTATTACCCTCCTGGTTATTTTTCTAGAAAAACTGAACACATCACACTACAGTGATGTATGTATTCCCATGTTTACAACACCACAATGTGACATAGATAAATCTTGAAAACAATCCAAATGCTCATCAACTGAGGAATGGATGTAAAAGATGTGGCATTTTCACAAATGGAATTTTATTCAGCTATATTTGACACTATTGTTGATAAATGGAACCAATGAGAGATCATAATCTTTAAGTGAAATAAATCAGATCTTAATTTTTAAATCTCATATTGTCTCCCTAATGTGAGAACATGAAAGATTAAATAGGATTAAAGGTACAATGGATACTGTGAAAAGGAAAGAAACCATTCCAGGGGAAAGAACAACCAGGATGAAGGAAAGAAAAAAACAGAATGAAGAAAGAGAAAAATATATATACATCAATATACATAGGATAGCCTGGCTAATCAGCTTGGACTGCTTATTTCTGCTGGCCATTGAAAAGAAAAGTTAATGTTTAATTTTTTCCTTTTGAATTTTTATAATTTCTGGCTAATCTTGTGTAGATTGTTGCATTTTGGCAAAAATATTTAAAACATGAAGCAAAAATCACTGGATATTTTGGTTCTTCTTGGACAAAAATAATTTCTTGGAGCTTCTGTATGAAAATGAAATTTGTTTTTTTTCTCTGTGTCATCATGTCAAGGGGCTACCAGGTCCACAAGAGGAGGACATATGCAAATCATCTTTTTGTTGAAAAATACATTTACTATTGGAAGGTGCTTTTAATTTACATTTGCCTCATAAATCTACAGTCTCCTTTAAGAATCTTGATTTCTCTACTTTGTTTACTGACAACCTCACATGGTAATTCTTTGCTGTGTATATTTTCTAGAAATTCCCGCATCATTTTATTTCTGGTGCATTTACTTAGACAAAGTGAAACTTACCCACTCAATGGCAACTCCATACTCTCCAGAATGTCTGTGAACCCAGTGCTTTGTTATTTTACAGATGCTGAACTTCTCAAACGTGGGCAGAACAACTTGCTTATGAAATCGCACAGTATAAGTTATGTTACTTATAGCTGGTTAGTTTCTTGTGTTTTATTGTTAGTGCTTCAAAATAGAAAAAATTCTTTACTGTTCTATTACTTCTATCACAAAATTGTTCTCAGAAGCCCATGGAGATGAGTGAACAAAAGTGTTTTATGTATTCCTTACACAGACATGGAGCCAGGACACTGGAAGTCATGCATCATCAGCAAAAAGGGACAGAAAGCTGGGAAAAACAGAGACATAAATGCACTGAAGTTCATCAACAACCAACTAGGTTTTGGAGAATTTGAAATACACACTTGAAAAATAGAGGAGAGAGTATAAGATGTCACAAAAGAATTCACAAGAAGCAGAATCTTTTGTGTAGCTCTGGACTCAGTGGAGGATTTTGAGGAGACATTCATTCTGTGAATGTACCGTACCTTCTGCCTGTGCCTGTACAAAATTAAAAGCATGGAGATGCTGGTGTAGACCATAAGGCTCAAACATACAACATCGGGAAATAATAACAGCACTACATGCAGCGATTGAGTGATTGCATCAACACGATTTGTAGAACAGAATTCCAAGTCCTTTTTCTGTGTCATGTTCTTTTTGCCTCTCTTTGCAGTTACATGTAGAGGAACAATTATATTTACCAGTATTTGCAGGGACCAACACATGAAAATACATGAGCTAATATATGTCGGAGCTTTTACCTTAAGCTTTGCCCACGTGAACTTTCTGGGGCTGATGGTGATGGCCTGGAAGCCACTCAACAGGCAAGTGATGCTCATGGACATGCCCCTGCCCACTCTATAAAGGTAGAACATAAATTTACATCCATAATCATTGTGGAAATCTTGCAAGCCAAAAGCTGCCATTGTCTGGGGAACTCCTCTAGAGAGCAGGGATAAAGAATTGGCAACCATCAAGTGATGGAGAATTAAATCTGTGGACTTTAACCGGTGTTCAGTGAAATAAAGAAGGAGATAGCGTTGAAGAAGAAACAAATTTCCAAGGACTCCACCCACAGTTTGTGATAAGAAAATCACTCCTGTTGCTCCCTCCCTGAGGGTCATGCTGCCAGTTTTCCAGGCTGATTTTGGTTTTCAAAGCCAGAGATCTGCTCACAAGAACACAGTGCAGAGAACATGGTTATTATGAAATTGAGTCACAGTGTTGTGCTCTTATTCTTAGTTCTCCTTTGGAGACACTTGTGCTATTGCATTCACTTGGTTGTGTTCAATTATTCAAGACACAGGTCTAAGAACACTTGTCACATAAAATGAACTGCTAGACAGCTCACAGTTATGCTCAATTTTCCACAAATCTTTAAGCCAACCACTAGCTTAGACAATCACAGATATTGAGAAGTATCTGTATTTTAGAGACAGTGTGGAATCCAAATCACGTACACTCATTCAAAGCAGTGCATTTTCTCCATGTGAGAGAGTCTGTTACATTATCAGTTATCTTTTCTACTTGTTCATTTTGTATTAAGTTATGTTCTTTAAAATTTCACACTAAATTCATGTTAATATTTTATCATATAAGATATTAGCTATAACAATTTGAGAGGTGATACTAAAACGTGGATATGTTGATTGCTCTATAATATGTAAGAGTTAGGTGGTAAGAGATGTAAGAAAGACTGAATATATAAATGAGAACAGACAATTTATATTTTATGATAAAAGCAAGAATTGAATATAACCTCACAAAAATTGTTATCTCATTTGTTTCTCTAAACTGCATTATCATATGATGCATAAATATGAGCTCAAATAATAAAAAGCTGAAAACTAAATTACTATGGTTCCATATGCCTATTTATAGTTGACATATGTGAAACAAATAGTAGCTTGGCTAGATTTGAGAAGAAAACATTAACACAAAAATAATAACATTCCTGCAAAAAGTGAAGAACTATAGACTTGTACATTTTATAAACTAACACTTAGAAAATTTGTCATTGATTTCATAAATATTCACCTAGTGAAGATCATTATAATTCACATTAGATATGATTTGAGGTGGTGTGGATGATCTGGGACCCCCAATTTCTCCTTACCAGTTCAGTGCTTGCTTCAGAAATTATTGCTCCAACTGTGGCTTTCTTCTGGAACAGTTTTAAATTTCGAAGTGTCCAATTGACCACAAATGTGTTATTCTGCTATTTATGGTTACTTATCTTACAGACATTTCCTCAGGACAAAATAATAAACAGCATAATGCAAAGCCTGAAGTGTAAATGCTTTCATCAGCCAAAGTATTTGTCTCTCCTCTGAGATAAAATGTTGTGACTCTGTGACCTCAACTTTACATAAATGTTCAGTAATTATTTCATCTTTAATGGTAATGACAAGGGAGGGTTGGGGAGATAGAATAATGCTGAGGTTTGTGACTAGCATCTGTAAAGAGAGCATTGGAGTGTTGGGAGCAGACTCCACAGTGGAGAACAGAGAATACTGAGGTCTGACACAGAGGGATGTGCAACAGCTCTAGTACACCAATGAATTCTCTTTTGCTCTGAGTTTTTCTACTGCAAAAATGTGTTAAATAATATCCACCCAAATGCTATAGCTCACCACAATATAACTTATGAGCAGTGAAAGGAAAACAAAATATTTGAGAATGAGATGTCAAAGGGATGCAGGTGGAGTACATGATAAACAAGAAGCCAAGATTTCACTGGTAGGAAATTTGTAAGACATGTGGGAATACATACTTCCTTGATGATGAAATCAAGTACAGTTAGAAGGTATAAATGTTGCAACATCAATATAATGGTGTGGGAGACCATTAACTGGTATCCATTTTATAATAGTGTCAGCTGTTTTCTTAAGTTTCTATTCCACTGTTGAGTTAAGTTTATGGTCCTTCTCACCTTGCCCATTCCCCGTGAATCACGTGCTATGCCCCAGACTTCCTTATTCCTACACTCCCTATGTATACACAGCATCTCCCCTAAATAAACGAGACTTGATTAGAATCCTGTCTTGGGACACCCCACAACATTCCGCAGCACCTCCACTCCCCTGCCCACCAAGTAGAAGTTTCTGACGCTTTCCGGGAAAACCCAGACCCAGTCCTAGCTCAGGTCCAGTGAGTGTGTGGGAGAGATTCCAGCTACCATGAGACGATGGGACAAACTACTCTTCCCAGTCCAGGCACAGCATGGGTGAGACCATCTTCCACCTCCTTGGGACGCCTCCCACCACTCTGCATCACAACACCCACCCCGCTGGCCAAGCAGGAATTTCTGCTGCATTCTGGGAACCCCCAGACCCAGTCCTAGCCCAGGCCTGGTGAGTGTGTGGGAGAGCTGCCTCTGCCACCTACTCCACCTTGTCCCCTCCAGGATCAGCTCAGGCCTGGCATACATGCCTAGGGTGTAACCCTGCAGCTGCAATCCCTGCAGAGAGCGTAGAGGATAGAACCACCCAGCTAGTGCAGGAGCAGAACATCTTGCCACAGGGGCACAACAGGTTCACCCTTAAGAGCAGCAACAGGAAGGAGCTGAGCACAGCAGCCAGACCCAAGCCAGACACAGCTGGATAAATCCAAACTTTGTAGATCTGCAACTGAACTTCAGCACGTGCTAAGGTTATAAGAACAACGAAGATCTACAACAAAGGTCAGAAGACAGTGCTATACAAAACGATGAGAAAGAACAAAATGCAACCCAAGAACCCAAGCCCACCTGTAACAAGTGCAGAAGACATTAACACAGAAAAAATTGGGAATCACACAGCTGAAAGCAATGAAGCAAAGGTTTCTGAAGTAAAGAAACAGCTGCAGAAAGGTATAGAGGAACTCAGATTGGAAAAAAAAGAAATCCCTGAATTAATAGCATCTGCAGTAAAGAATCAAATGCAGAAACATATGGAAGAAAACCAGTGCCCACCCAGAACAAGTGTGGAGGACACTAGCTCAGCTCAAATGCATGAATTAATAGCGTCAATAGTAAATAAGCAAAAGCAGAAAGATATAGAGGTAATCAGAGTGCAATTCTTTCCTGAAATAAAAAAAAGAACTCTCAGAACTCATAGCAGATGAAGTAAAGAAGCAACTAGAGAAACATAGGGAGGGAACCCAAGCTGAAAAAAACACTGCAGTAAAAGAATTTATAACTGCTTCTAAAGAAGACATTGATAAAAAAATAAGGAGATTAGAAAAATTACGGATTCCTTGAATGAGCAATACCGGAGAGAAATAGATGGCAGGAAGCAGAGTCAAAGAGATATAGAGAAAATCAAACTCTCAATCACAAGCTTGCAAAACTGTTTAAGTGAATGTGAGGACAGAGTTTCAAATCCTGAAGATGCTGGTGTAGCTAGTGAAAAGGTAAGAAAGGATCTCTGAAAAACAACGAGGATTCAGGAAAGAATAATCCATCACCTGCAAGATGAAGCAAAGATGAAAAATGTGAGACTAATAGGCATCAGTGAGAAAGGTGGAGTCAATACAAAGGACATTAAAAAATTATGGGCAAAAGTAATAGCAGAAAAATTCCCAAATATGAGGAAACAATTTGACATTCAGGTAACTGAAGCATACAGAACACCAGGGAACCTCAACCCAATGAAAAACACACCGAGACATATAATAGTCAAGATCCCAGAAATTCAGCACAAGAATAATCTACTGAACATGGCTAGAGAAAAGAAGCAGACACATTCAAAGGAAAATCCATCAGAATTATGGCCGACTTCTCCTCACAAACCAGGCAGGCAAGAAGAGCATGGAGCAGTGTACTTCAGGTCCTCTATGAAAACAAATTCCAGCCCAGACTACTATACCCTGCAAAACTCTCTTTCAAGCTTGATGGAGAAGTGAAATACTTTCATGACAAAGAACAGCTAAAGAATTTCGTGGTGACAAAGCCAACCCTACATAGGCTACTGAAAGATGTTGTAGAGAGGGAACAAAATGATTAGAACTTCATTAATGCAATCAGAAGAAACCAGCTAAATAGGGCAGGCAATGAAACACAGGAGAAAAAGGAGTAACGACAACAGGTAAATAACATGGCAACCGTAAGTCAATACATCTCAATTCTAACCATCAATGTAAATGGACTCAACTCACCAATTAAGAGAAATAGACTGGCACAGTGGATTCGGAAAGAAAATCCAACAATATGCTGTATACAAGAAACAAATTTAACTTATAAAGACATTCATCGGCTGAAAGTCAAAGGATGGAACACAGTACTACATGCCCCAGCTCCTCAGAAAAAAGCAGGGGTAGCAATCCTATTCTCAGACAGTCTCAATTTCAAAACAACAATGATCAAGTGAAATAAGGAAGGCCACTATGTACTGGTTAGGGGAAAAATACACGAGGAAGAGGTAACACACACAAATATGTATGTACCAAACACCGGAGCACCCAACTACATAAAGCAAATCTTAATGGACATGAAAAATCTAATATCGAAAACCACAATTATAACAGGAGACCTTATCACACCATTATCTCCAAAAGATAGGTCAACCAGACAAAAACTTAGCAAAGAAATAACAGAACTGAACCAGAGCTTGAAACAAATGGACATGGTGGACATATACAGAGTGCTCCACACAAACACAGCTGAATACACATTTTTCTCAGCTGCACATGGGTCATTTGCTAAAATAGATCACATAGAGGTCCACAGGTCATGCTTAAGTATATGCAAGAAAACAGAAATTATCTCATGCACATTATCTGATCACACTGCAATGAAGCTGGAAATAAATGACAAAAGAAACCAGAAAAAAACTTTCAATACATGGAAATAAAATGACACCCAACTCAGGAACTAATGGGTCACAGATGAAATTAAACAAGAAATTCAACAATATCTAAAATTCAATGAAAGTTCAAGCACAACTTACTGGAACTCATGGGATACGATGAAAGCAGTGCTCAGAGGGATTTCATAGCTGTAAACTCACACATTAGGAAAGCAGAACCGGAACAAATAAATACCCTAAAGCTGCACCTTCATCAAATAAAAAAGAAGGGCAAACCAAACCCAGAGCCCAAAGACGGGAGGAAATCATAAAGATTAGAGGAGAAATTAATTCAATTG